ACCCGGCGATAATTAATGCTGCTTCCTTAAATAGGTTTACGAGGTAAGATTTCGTGCGTGAAATAGATTAGCTAATTAGAAGCCCGAGTCTTAAAATGTAAGCCGTTCTTGGTCGCCAAAAGGGGGGTCATGGTCCCAGGCGTTCCTTGCGTAAACCGCGGAAACTGGGGATGAGAGTGCGACAACTTGTATTATCATGAGCTCGCTTTTCTTAAAAAACTTAATTTATAGAATTCTATATTTTGTGAGGACCGCTTTGCAAAGATTCCTGTCTTATACGCTCAAACGCACACGCCGTTCGTGGTAGGCCCACACTAAATGATGTCGAGCGTTTTCGGAATGGGCCGGTCCACGAGCTCCATAACTTGAAAGCTAGCCAAATGTGCAAAGTCCATACTAGTTCTCAAGAGATAACAAATGAGCCATATGTAAGTTCAAACTACGAAAATAGTGGCAAAACTGTGACAGTCGATTTAACAACTACCCATGATGCTGAGACGAGCACCTCACTTGCTGAAAAAAATCAAGAATGTTCGTGAACACAATTTCGAAGGTGGCGGTAACAACAGCCAATTGAATGAGGATACTGACAGAAGCAACTTGAATAGTAAGGTCAAATATCTAAAGCTTAGCTCGTCCGTTAAATATCCTGTTTCTTTTATTGGTTTTTAATGGGTTCAAGTGGCACTGGAGTGATCGATATCGAAAATTCCCCATCCCAGGTCCCGGATGTGGTTTCGTGTGTGTGTGTGTGTGTGTGTGTGTGCGTGTGTGTGTGTGTGTGTGTGTGTGTGTGTGTGTGTATATATATATATATAAATTTTTACGCGTGGTTAATGCTCGATTGAAACGCTCGATACGAAGCTCGAGCGAACGCTCTTCGAGCGTCTAGTTTCTAATAACCATGCTTTAGCGTAATTTTTTTTCAGTTTACTCTTATATACAACGCAATTTTCAAAACTTGGTAGAAACTCTGTAGCTTCTTGGCTCCATAATTAATGTAGGAACGGGAATTGTTAATGTTTATGGAAATTACCACAATTCGATGGCAAACTAAGATATTTTACAAGCCGTCAGGTGATGATAATTTCCGAAAAGCCGCTCAAAATTCGAAAAATGCACCGAATACTCCCCAACAAAATCGAGCAATATCATGGACGGACATGACATATTCATTTCTAAACGTTTGATGCGTGAGTTTTTCAAGAACAATTGTCGATATTTGTTTGCATACATTTCCGAGGCTTTCAATGACCACCTAAGGTCCTTTATTAGTAGTCTTGCGAGGCATTCAAATATGAAGACCAAGACTGTACTTTGGCATATTTGTGATACGAGTGAGCACTTGATGTGTTATTCTATTTATGCTGTGGGTACTAGTCACATTAAATATTATAAAAAGGTCGAAAAATTCAGTGCTGGCGGTCGGTGTCTTGTCGGTTTTTTAACTTTACTTTTTACTTAACCCCGCACGAAAGAGGATGGATAACCATTACTGAGAAACAAGAACAGGTGACAACACCTTTATCCCGGAAAACGCTAATGATAAAAGTAAGATAATTTCAGTTCTGATTATTTCCCCAAATACTCAAAGTACAAGTGTGAACTGGCAAGATCAAAGTGAACCGCTCTAAAGTTTTATGGACTTTCATTGGCACTAGATAAGAATGAACCGATGGCCAAATACAATTTGTGGCAAAAAGTACCATTTGCACTTGTCTCAAAGTTGCCGTTCTACTTTGTCGCCTCAATGATGGCGGATGAAACCAACTGCAGAAAAATGGCTGAAGCTCACCCTAAAGAACTCTCAAAATTCTGGCCTTCTTGGAAACTCTACCACTGTTTCAATTACAGTGCGAAACAGACGGACGAGGACAAATCTGAATTATATCATTGCTAACATGGCGGCATCAGACTTGCTTATGTACGCATGTGAACCTTTACCGTTCCAAACAAACTATGGAAGATCGTACTTGATCCCCGTGCCTGACTGATAGAATGGACTGTAGGGGCCATTTTGTGCGTGCTCTTTCATTTCTTCCTAGATCTTTGAATAGCTGTGTCGATTCAAAGCCTGGGTATCGTTTCAATAAAAAGGTACAGACCCATAGTGCATCCAATCCTCCCCGCAATCATCACGCCAAAACGATATAAATTGATCATTTCCTCAACATGGCTCGCATCTGTGTCGCTACGTGGAATAGATTTCGACACCACTCGTCTTAACTCTCATAAAAACGCATTGACTTGTGATCTCAGTTAAGCCTGAGAGCTAACATTGACAATACCAAGACACAAGTGGAGTATAACACCGTGCTGTGAGTATCACCGGTTCTTGTACCTTTGTCTGTCATAACTTTCAGTTATTCAAAGACTTTCAGTTAGAGTCTGAAAAATAAAGAAGCTGTTATGAACTACTCTTCACAACAATTTCATTGGCAACGAGCTGAAAATACGAAATTTTTCAAGAACATTTGTACCATTGTGGTTTCATTTTGCATGTTGCGTTTATCCAACTTATGTGTATGGGATTTTATTTTCTTTCGTGTTGAAATGGAAAATGCCATGTAATATGGACCAATATGGTGTCTTTTCTCATTTTGCCTTGAATTCAAACGCTACAATTTCCTCAGTGACGTCCGGTGTGTATAAACAGCTACCGCCGAGGGCTTTCAAAGTTACATAGGAGCTAACTTTCTGCTTAGATGAAAATAAGATAATTTTACTTTCCATATTTTCTAAATAATAAAAACAAGAGAATATAAACTGTAATTCATATTATCTTGATAATTGAAACTTAAATGTGGAAATTCATAAACAAAGGAAAAAAGGGTTTTCACAAATTTTCTAGCTTGACATTTTGATGATCTGAAATGACATATTTAAAACGCTTTACTCAAAGCTTTCGTGATAAAATTTAATAAAATTCGACTCCATAACAAATGTGTCATAACTGGAGGAAACTTAATACGCGTCGAGACAATATTTGCACTTCATTCGAAAGATCCTCTGAATATTGTCAGACACACACTAGTCAGCTGAAGATTAATTGAGAGCGCTATAAATTACATATTATCGTAAAGGAGCTGGAAACATTTCTGAAATCATTAAAAATGAAAGAAGTCGCATTTTCCAAATTATAGGTGCACAGGAAACTACAGAAGATTTCCTTTTTAACCGCCCACAAGCTAATAAGATATTAAATATCAAGGCCGAGGCGCATTAATGCTTATTTTGTTTGGCGAAGTTATAAATCTGTCACCAAGTGACGTAAAAAAGAGGCGACCCTAGTTTAAAATCTAATGAGAATTTTTGTTGATCGTTTAAATTGACCAAATCTTTAACAAAGGAGCCTAGCTTCTGCCACGATGGCTTCCAACTTTTAACCAAACAAATACATTTGTTTTCATACCCATTTAACTGTCATATTATGTAAGAAATTTCTGGATATAATTACAGCGGAAAAGTAGAAAGTAGATGCTACCCTAAAAAAAGGCTGCTTACGATAGTGCGCCAAGTATGCAAAAAAGAGCACTTCGTTATTCACTGAGACTAGAAGACAAAATTTCACAATAACCCGGACGCCGCTGAAAGAACATCCATTCTTGACTTGTTTTCTCCGAGTCAGAGCTAAATTGGTTTGTGATTGACATTTCTGTCCACCAGTAAAGTTGTGGTTAAAACATAGTAGATCGATGCGTTGAAATTACTAAAAATTCTTTCAAGGTGGACCTGAATCTTAAGTGGGAGGAAATGAAAAATAACGGTTCCGTTGCGATATTATGTAAAAAACGTTAGAGTATAGCTTTCCAAAAATTCTTCAGTTGAATCAATTAAAGAAGAAACGTTGTCGTTAAGCCTTTTCAATTATTTATTATTTCACTGTCCCTTCTTAAGACTTCCCGGTTTCGGTTTCCTATTTTGCTGAAGCTGAGAATCATCTTTCATAGGGCATCCCGTATTTACATATAAGGTTACGTGTTAAAGCAAATGCTTGCGTTGTGTGGGAAATTTACAAAAAGTTCCTCTTTAAAAGAAAACAGTTTCCTTCCTCCCAATTTGAGATTTCAGAGTTTCTGCACAAACCCCACCAATTGAACTTTAGAAGGTAAGCAGAATTCTTGATTGACTTATCTTTTTAGGCTGCCTTTGGCGAGACATTTTTATGGTTAGCAAAAGGACCGATTGAGAGCGCCTGCAGTAAAGCGAAGTTAAAGTTAGGTCTGAAAAGCCTTTTTTAGTAATTCGTTGTTATACTGATGGATATCTAGGGCTGTATGACTGCTCTGCCGGCTTGCAGAGCAAGAAAAAATTCATTTCTCAACTCTCATTGGGGCTGCGAATTGAGCTTGCGAGTTTGAAGGCTGTACGTGATACGAATGTGCAAAAGGTCTGTGACGGTCTATTTTGAATTCCTACTCCATGAAATTAAATATCCTTTCAAATTCTGATTTCACAACATTATAAGGCTGTAATGCAATTGAGATCCTTTCGACAAAGAGCTCAAGTTCACATCGTTTCGCGTCACTCTCTTTTCTTTCACGAGACTCCTTTAAGAATATCGACGATAGTAACATCCACTGCAGAGTTTACAAACA